AACGGAGAGTGGGAGAGTCTTCTAAAGTCAAGAGACATAGAAACCTCAACAAACAGTTCCCCACCACTGTATCATTCTCCTTATAAATGGCAAAGAGTAATTTTCAGGATCTGAGAGACAAAATGAGTAAGATAATGAAAGATGATCATTCAGTCATTCACGGGGTATAAAAGTTTGATCCACCACCCCCCTGTCCAGTCCAATCCCAATAAAAAGGATATACACTTACACACAATTGGACAAAGAAGGATAGGAAAAGAGAAACGGCACGCAAATGAAGGTGTATGATTTCATAAATAACATACAAAATTACATTCATGTAAGAATGAGAGATGTTCATAGCAGTAAAATAATGAATAGCTTTCTGTTTCACTTAGTCTGTAATGTCATACTCAGTTTTAAATTGATCTTTTTAAGTCTTTCTTATAACAGTATTTCGCGCTTTCACATATTTTTTAACATACCAGGGCCTCTAATAAGAGAAAACACACTGCCTATAACCGTGAATACAACACCGCGTTCCCAAAAGCTTACTGATGAAATCGTGAATTCCACACCTGTGTGGAATTCACGACCGCATCAGGCGAGATTCGAATATGAAAATCGTGAATCCCACACTTTTTCGAAAAAATGACCATCTACGGTAAAAAACGTACTAGAGTATTATTTCTAAAAGATAATTGATCAGATCTATCCATTTAGTTTATTTCTTGAACGCCAAACGACGGAGAAAATCAGTTTTTTCCCTCTCCTGTAAAATTTGCTTCGTGTGGAATTCACGATTTCATCAGGCGACCGACGAATACTAGGAATTTTCACTTTTTTTTCGAGTAATTAAAATAGTTAATGTCATTATTGCTCTCTCTCTCTCTCTCTCTCTCTCTCTCTCTCTCTCTCTCTCTCTCTCTCTCTCTCTCTCTCTCTCTCTGCTCTCAGTCCATTGAACGCAGTCCGCAAACAAAGTCTTTGGTAGTGGAGAGTATTCATAATCTCTGCAACTGCCAAATTTAGCCATATCTTCGAT